GAAACTGAACAGCATAATTTTTTTAAAATTTGGTTACTCATCAACTTGGTATGCCATCTGAGTATAAGCTCACTGCACTATTTAAGGGAATATATTGATCTTTTTATGTATAAGTTGGCAAATAAGTTTATAGATTCTTCGACATTGTATACTAAACTTCCTTGGTTAAAAATCATGCATGGACTGCGTTCTACTGGAACTGTACTATTTGGTGTTACATTTCCGAGAACAAACTCTTTATTGCGGAAGATGTGTCGAAGAGCTAACAATGATGCAATTGAACTAAATGGCTCGATTTTCAAAAACGACTTTGATTTCAATTGATGTTTCTAATATATTAATGTCCCAATTATAAATGGGTGTTTGTACCTGTTCTGAATTGTATTGTAATGTAAATGTAAAAATGTAATGTATAATACATGAACTGATGTGGATATCAGCATAAGAAGACCACCGCCACCTAAAGCGAGGAAAACATGCACTACACTTGTAGGACTTGCAATACAATCCAGTTCAAGGTAAAATAAGCATTGGGGCAAAGGAAGGCATGGGAGGGGCGGGGAGGGGAATTCGAAAAGATCTGTAAGTATGTATATGTTCAACGTGAAACCGAACGTCGCGCCCCGACGAGTTCGGCCGGTGCCGGGGATCATGGGCCCGCGAATGGGCACGCTGGCCGCGCCCTGGCCCCGCCCCCGCCGCACCGACGGCGCTGCCCCCGGGCCCGCTGCCCCCGCTGCAAGCTCGCCGCCGCCAGCCGCGGACGCCCGCCGCTCGCCGCGGCGCCGCCAGCTCCAGCATGTACAGCGACGGCGCCCCCGTCGCCGCCGCCACCGCCTTGGGGCCCGCCGCCCCGCCGGCCCCCGCCAGCCCTGCACATCCACACAACACTTCTCTAAAACTTACAAATACACCAGCGCCTTCCACTTAAAATAGTAAAGCCTCGTTAACACGAATTCCAAGAGACTCAAATAATCGGTGTTCTTGTTATAAAAATTCGTGTTATCCGAGGCAAATATATACGTACTTTCTTTGGAGGGATCCAAATTTAGTTCGTTTGGCGATTAATTTCCTGTTGAGAGTTCGTGCTAACGAGGGTTTACTGTATTACCGGTAATTCCTCTTTTTTACCTGTAGGAAGGAACAAGATTCACGTAGAAAACGTGTTTTGTAATTTTCCCATTTCATTTTAGGCTGTCACCAGAACTTAGTGCGCCTTCCCAAGAGTCGAAGTGCTAAGTGTCCTGTAATTTTGGCGGCCGGCTGGCGGGCCGATAGTCTGAAGACCGAAGAACGTCGGGCACAACCGCGGGGCCGTGTGCGATACACCGCTGACCTAACCTGCGCCCCAACTCCGTCAATAGTTCTCAAATTTGTATCTCTCACTCGTCATTTGAATCCCCCCAAAAAGGTTTTTTTTTAAAATTATTATTCGGCAATGCTCAGAAATAACCTCAGCACTTCCACTCACTATAAGCACCTTCTGGGCACTACAGGAATCAGAAAGAAAGCGTTGCGAAAGAAACGAACCGTCTCTCAGCAAATCGACGAAACATATTTGTTAATCTAATTGAGGAGAAGACTCTCGAATCCCCCATCTGAAAAGACCCACTCCCTATAACAACTCCACTATGTCTTCCTCAACAATTATCAACTTGCAAGATACAAAGAGGATATCTTTCTAAATTCTAAAACATACAATTATTATGGCTTGCCATTTATTTTTTATTGAATTTGATTACATTTTTTGTCAAAGATTTTGCTCAGAAAAAAATTAAGAAATTTCATTTATTTTCACGGATTGGAGGAACAACTACAGTCGCCAAAAGCAACTATCTTTCAGAATGTATGTCTCGAAGTATTTCCGAGGTGGGATCCAAATACCTAGCTTGAAGTACTGACTGGAACAGATGATGACACTGACTACTAAATAAACTTCTCACTTCAAACACAAAAATTAAATTATTTAAAAATTCTATAAAATTAACAAATACACTTTTATCTTCCAAATCGTAATCTGTGGCTACAAATTGCAACTGAACAAAATATGTAACTGCCTAGATATCTAGCTAGTGTAGAAAACCCTGATACCGTCGAAACTGGAACTCTACACTTCCGGCAGGGCACAAGTGACCACGTTCTGTAGTAGGACATGTCACCTGCCCTGAAGCAACGAACTTGCGAGGATTTGTTTACTTTCTCGCAGTCAGCGTTTAGCATTGATGCTCGTCTAACTGGCACGAGGTCGCGAAGGCAGTAAGGTTCGCCTGTGGCGGAGGTTACGAACGTGATATTAAGACGTGTCATCGCCAGTCAGTAGGTGTTAATGTTTTGAGATTTCTCTGATTTGGTATGCAGGTGGAGCCAAGTGCGAAGTAAAGTATGGCAACAGAGCATCAAACTGTCAGAGTCGCTTATACTCTCCCGGTACTGTAGGATCTCCAGGTCTGAGACAGTGCAGAGACATCAGATGATGCTCTGAGCTCTCCTATTGTAATAAGTAGAGACTCAGAGAGAAGTTCATATCCTAAAAGTGTTAGATATATGCGTGCATTTATAACCTAAAACAATATGAAAATATGATCATAAATATGACAATTCTTTTTGTTTGATTTCGCAAACCTTCAAAATTTTGCCGCTCTTTTAAATAACCATAACATTGAAAATATAATTTTAAAATCTAGTATATTCACAACTCACTCTTTTTCCTTTGGCGCCCCATGAAGACAATTTATCTGGTAAGTGTTTGCACCGAAAAAAGAACCATTGGCGTCTACCAGATCCATGATAATGTAATGAGGAAACTTGTTACAGTATCATGGATCTGATATGCTCCAACAGTTCTTTTTTTCAATGTGACCTTTGCAGAAAACCTGACGAAACAAAAGCTACTCTTTCGCAACTGGTGCTTTGTTTGCTTTCTTTTTCTACTATAGATCCTACCTTCCTATTTCACATACATGCATATTTATAGGAAAGATATCACAATTAGATACAATTGTAAGAAATTACATAAGAATTAGAAGACTGAACAATCTCTGAGGTGACTAGAAGCAAATTCGGGCAAATGGAATCAAAAAGATAAAAATTTGAAACAAAATATGAAAATTCATGGAAAAACATGACCACAATATATAAAATTAACATAAAGTGACAAAAGCATTTTTAAGAAGCCAAAATATGACTGCATATGGCATGTGAAAAAGTTAAGCATGATTTTATCTACAATGACTAAAGTTAAGTTAGTAATTGTAGATAAAATCATGCTTAACTTATATGTTCCATAGAAATAACACAGAAAAAAGACGTGTGGTAAACATCCGGGCCCTAGTAATTTGTATTTATGTTTAGCAATTCCATGTCCCGTAAAGAGCAAGTGCCTTCGGTTCCGATAGATCTCGGGGTTCCCAGTCGGCCACCCAACCAGGAACACGCGGAGTCTCGAATTCGCTCACCCTCCGTAGTTCAGCACAGAGCGCCGCTTACCTTGCGAGCTGATGGAGAGCGAGGAGGCGGAGAGCGAGGCGTGCGGGTGGTGCGCGAGGGGCAGCAGCTTGGCGGCGGTGCCGGCGCCGCGCCCGTCGAACGTGTAGGCCAGCCAGTGGCCGCGCTCGTCGCGGAAGCAGTGCACGGCGCCCTCGCTCGTGTCGTCGTGCGACGTGGCCAGGTGCGCCCCGGGCTGCGCCGCCACCGCCGCCGCCAGCGCCGCCAGCGGAGGCGCCGACGACGACGTCGAAGAGGCCGGCGGCTCGGCGCCGCGGCGGCAGCGGCGGCGGCGGCTGCGGCGGCCAGACCGACGACGACGACGACCGCGTTGCCCCCCGCGGCGCCGACGACGAAGGTCGGCCGCCGCCCGCGGCCCCCTGCGCCGCCTCCTCGCCGCGCAGCCCCCCTGCACCGCCGACAGCTGGTGGCTGCGGTTTCCTGCGCACTGCGCAAAGGCCAACTTGATGCCTTCCATTCTCTTATATAAGTGTTTGTAAATTACAAATAGACTTATACAAATTTGTATCTTATTAAACAAAGAATTCGTAACCATCGTTTTGGGTATCCCCAAGCTCTATTGGCAAAAGGTTCTTAAGTAATTATTTGTGCAACAGAAAATTTTCAATTTCTTGTTTCAGGAAATTCACATCAATTTGTGATTGTGGTTTATTTAAGGTGTTTCACAAGGGTCCCACCTTATGCCTTCCTTCTTTTATAATTTTTTATTGATAAACAGTATATTAAGTCCCTCAGTGGCTCGTTAGCTAGATGCTTGCTTTCCACGTGGGCAACCGCGGTTTGAATTCCTGACCGGGCAAAAAAAATAACCGTGCGCTTTCCTACAAATGTCCCAGAACCTATTGCCTGGTGTGATGAACAAAATCCAGCTCTAAAGGGTTTCATGAAGACCAGAACCATGGTGAAGGGGGTCTTCATGCTCAACCGCACCGAACCTGTATCCATGGTCACCGCGGCGGCGAGGCCCTCGGCTGTTGAGGTCATATACCGTATCAATTAAAATTTGTTCTGAAGCTGATTTTGCTCCTCGAATTCTATTCTATGTTAGATTATTGTATCTCATAATCTGAAATTATATACATTACTTCTATAGTCTATGATATGTGCAAAATAAATTCTCGGCATGCTGATATCGTAAACCCAGCAGTGTAATCTGACATCAAGTCGGTTTGCCCGAAAATTATTTCTGGCCTGCATAATTCACGTCCTCGCAATTATAAACCGATAGTGTCTCACAGACGTATAATCCAATACTTTTGTATGTTGCGCTCCGCAATCAGGCAGTGAATCTCAAAATCGTTTACTCGCATTTTCTTACATGAATTTTTCGTACTGGCCAAGTCGCAAAATGTGACTCATTTCTTAGGAGGCTTACACATACAGTATGTCCATTTCCAATCTCTCTCGTTGTACTATAACATAATCATATTTGTATGGTTATCACAGTTGATTGGTAGGCGGATTTATCAACACTTTCTCGACGCAATGCGTGGTTATCACCTTTGTGCCTCGGGAAGTGTGATAAATCCCGATAGTTTCCAACGCCGTCGAGCTCTTCGTCTGCTAGATGCCGTCTGACCTGTGCGCGCTCGCGGGTTCCTCGTGAGAGCCGCCGGGCCTGTTTGCGGACGCAGGAGCGGTGCTGCGGGCAGCCCGCGTCGCATCGCCCAGGCGGCGGCCCAGCTGCCCTCCGCCCCCGCGGCGGCCGGCCGGGGGCGTGGCCCGTCGCGGCGTGCGCGGTGGTGCGGACGAGCGGACGGGGTCGCGGGCGCTGGCCGGGGGCGCGGGGCGCCGTATCGCCAGAAACGTTGGCGCAGCAGGGTGGAGGCGGCGGCGGCGGCGGGGGCACCAAGCCCCGCCGCCCGCTGCGGCGCGGGCGCGGCCAGGCGGCGAGGAGGCGGCGGCGGGGGACGGCGGCGGGCGAAAGGCGGCGGCGGGCGCGGGGCGGGCGAGGGCGCGGCGCAGCGGAGGAGCGCTGGCGGGGGCCAGCCGCCCCACCGGCGCCTGCGACGCCCCGACGACGAGAAGGACGACAGGCCGCGCGGCTGCTTTGGGATGGCGCCCTGCAACGCACACACGCACAATCATTTCAGTTTCTCATATTCATCTCTTTTAATGCTTCGAGATCTTTGCACCAAAAAGAATGTCATTAATATAGAGTACTACCTATTAACAGGGAGCTTTAGCAGGCGCAAACGGGCAGCAATTGACTGTAATCACGATCTTCTGTCGAAGCACAAGTAATGCGAAACTTGAACTGCGCACGTGCTGAAGATCGCTAGTGATTTCGATAGTTTTAACGTTGGAGGGTGCCAAAACTCCCTAAAGGTGAGTCCACACGATGCGTCTTTTCGTTCTATTTTGCGCATGCGTCTAGCGCCCGAAGCGCATGCGTCAAAACAATGGACGAATGCAACAGCGCGAGCTTTCCCAGAGCTGTCGGGAATCTCGTTCATCTTCCTCCTATTTCCAATTGATGAACGTTTCTTAACGAAGTCATCCGGAATAGCAGGCCGCACTACTTCTTTGAGTATTCTTTGGTAGTCTTCCGAGTGTTTGTGGTGTTTGTGTTTTATTGCGAATTTCTTGCAGATTATTCTTTTATTATTATATTTTTACGTCAATATCAATTTTCAATATATATATATATATATATATATATATATATATATATATATATATATATATATTGATTAAGCTATATAGTGAAAACTAGTAAAAATGAACAAGTGATTATTTCCATTTCTAGTCTTGTGTGCTGCATTGACAGGAGAAGAACATTTAGTTTTCCCTAATTTTTATTTTATTTCTCAAAAGTTCCAGTGGAAACAAGAAATCGTCAGGAGACATTCTCATAAAATCTATCACAGTCGCTCCGCAAATCACTGATCATAATGTGTTTTCCTTGCTTAACGTATTCTCTCATCCACATGCACCTCTCTTTTTTTCTCTTCTTTCGACTGATTATAAAATAAACTACTGATATTGCCGGGCCAGTAGCTGCATTGCACAGAACAGAACTGAAGCAGCAAAGCGTTGCACCGTGTGGACAGGGTAGCTAGCGCACGTGCGCTGTGTTGCATTTTATTCCCGTGACACGCACAGAAGATCCGCCTCGTGTGGGCGTGAGGGCCGCTCACCTGCTGCGCCGCGTTGGAGTGGCCAGAGGGCGCCTGCGCGGGGGGCGGGAGCAGCTTGGCGGCCTCTTGGTCCAGGCTCAGGGTGGTGGAGGAGCTGCCTGAATCAGAGTCTTTCACTCGGCCGGTGGCTGCAAATTCAGGCAAACATTTTTTTACTCACTCCCGCGCCACATACGCGCTCTCAATGGTACAAACCAAAATTAAATCTGGGTTTACTCTCAGGCACGTCAAAAGAAATTAATGGGCAAAGAATTGCATCGTCGTTAGGCAGCCCCATTCCCATACAGCATCTCCACCTTAGATTGCAGAATGGAACCTAACTCTCTAGCCCGATGATTGTCTGACCTTCCTTATCTAGTTGCTCTTGTTGCCACCACTGTAATAATATTTTAAAAAACATAATTTTCAAAAGGCCTCTTCTTGATTTGGAGGTTACTAAGAACTTCATCAATTTATATGAAGGAAGGACTGGCGCTGTTGACTAACATAACACAGATATTTACCAAAATATTTTTATTATAGCATGTGCTCTGTTTATGTTGTATTTATTCTAATAAATAATTTCATTTTCTCTAATTCATTGGTTTGAATTCTTTGAGATCTTTGTACTGAAAAGCTTTTCATTAATACAGAGTACTACCTATAGTTGTAATAATGAATATATCACAACCATTCACGAATATTAATAAGTCGTAATAATTAGATTAATTGTGTGAATCAGTGCAGTCAATACATACAAATGTTGTGAACCATGTCTGCCTTGCACTGTGTGGTAGCAGAAATTGGACAGCTCTGTTGCCCATTTACTCCTTACTGCAATGTAATGTAGGGATGCTCTATAGAGAATGATAAGTAAAAACAGATGAAGCTATAACAACTGAAATTAAAACCAATAATTCTCGTTATATCCAATTACATTTACTGGAATAGACTGTAATGAATAAGGTCAGTGCACAGGAAATGCAGAGAGTCTGTCCTTTAGCAGAACATTAAATGATAAACCTATTGTTCTCCTTACTTCATGAAAGAGTTTAAAATTAAAGTTACTACAAATAACTAGAAAACAAACACCCACTAAAAATAAAACAAAACCATTTAAAACTCGAGAAGGGAGACTAAAAGAAAGTGAGGAGGAGAAAAATCATTAACATACAAATGTATGAAATAAACCAATATGAGAAAAGGTCAGAATTTTGTATGTAAAGAAAAAACCATTATTTATATAATGCACATTAGTTCAAGGTTACTTTATTCCCATACATATAAACAAATCAAATATCATGTTATCTTTAGAAATCATATTCCTACAAAGTAACTTGTGCCTCTATGTCAGAACAGTCATCTGTATTCTTTAATGAATTTCCAAGTGCAAAAACTTTCATTTCTGCCCAATACAGAGAAAACATACATGCTATATGAACAAGAGTCATACTTCTATGCTTACAATATTTACCCTACTATGCCCTATGAACATTTATAAAACAAGAAATTTAGTACTGTTCAATGCTCCCAAAGTCTCATTGGAAATCGTGACAAATGAAATAGACAATTAAACTTGAAATGATTTTACTCATTCTTTTCATTTGCATTTCGATTATTTGCTGATAGCTCTCTCATTGTTTCTATTTAGATGATGGTATCTCCATTATTAAGTGATATGAGAAGAATAAAGTTGTGTTTTGAAGATAAAATTTTACTTATCTACATCCTGGTCACAAAAATTGAGAATAAAACACAATTATCCGTTAAAGAGAAATGTAAAACAAATTTCATATAAGTCCTTGGTAAAGGCATAAACTTGCTTTAAGAACATTTGTTTACTTTATGTGCAATTACTTCACAAATTATTAGTTCTATAGAATAACAAGCTCAGTCCACAAAGGAGTTTCTCAAGAAATAGAACATGTTATTGCACAATGATGAACATCTTGAACATAATATTTATTTATATTAAATAGAAAACAAACTATTGGAATCATAACTAGTTCTAAACAACGAGACATTAGTATCAATTCCCAAATTAAACTAGTAGTACTACAAATGGCACAGACTTTCCCGTATTTGTTTTCTATTTCCTTTGCTCTTGGTTAGCTATTTGAACTTGCCACATTCTCTTGCCAGCTGCCATCTATCGCCGTCCTAAGTACATTTTTTAAAAAAATTCTTAATTTTTTTGTTTCCTAATAGTAGAATAGAATTATTAATTTTATAATATTAAAGAAAAGCAAAACCTTGTCCTAAATGAAACTTTTTACTGAAAAATTAGAGTCGTTTTTAGAAGATGGTGTTTAAGCATTACTGTGAAGGTGAAATTTGACCCTTTTTTCGTAGCCAACTATGGAGTTTTCGAAAAACTTGATCTAAAGTAATTTCAAGCACTTCTACTCACAAATGCAATTATGTTTACAAATTGCTGGAAGCGTGCATAATAAAGACGTGAGAGATCAATCAGTATCAAGGGAGCCCAAAACTTGTATATCTGTGAAAGTCTAGAATGATTTTCCCCTAGCATTTCATGACTTTCCCTATACTATGTAATATAACTCCGTATATACGTACGTATACAGGAAAGTAAATACTACACGAGTCAGACTCGCTAGGTCTTAGTAAAATGGGTATATTTATTGCACTGAACAATTCTTCAAAACTGCGTTTGAAAATGTTTAAACATCAGATTTAAGAATTCTACGAAATCATTATCTTTAAAAAAACAGGCTTGCTTTCTGTGTCATGCATTTTGTACTATATCTGAACAATTCTTTAAATGTCATTTTGGTTCCAAACAAAAAGGAAGGCAAGGCACGACTATCTAGTATTGAAATTTTCACAGGTAGAAAAGATTTTTTGTCAATGTAATCAATAGAATAATTATACTGTTAATCAATTGCACTGTGCAACTTGAACTTTCCAAAGAGTTATATTTTCATAGGTATTATTTAATTAAATATTTTACACGTTTTTGATATTATTTTGTAATCAAATAAATAAATAAATAAATGTAAAAAAATAATTAAAAAGTCCTACAGGAAATGTGAATTGAGGAGGCACTTATACAAGATCAACATTTACAAAACTAGCAGGTATAATCACTGATTTCAGATAAACTTACAAATAAAATCAACAAAATTTGAGACAAATGATCATAAGAAAAATCATAGTGAACAAATGAGATTTTAGGAGGAGAAGAAGAAAGAAAGTTCATTTGCTAAATGTGGTCAAAATTAATTATTTACTTATTTAGTTAGTATTTTACATGATGAAACTTGAGCCTTCAGGCCCGCTCGTCTATCTGACAACGTAAATTTGGGTACTCTCCCCCCTCCCCCTGTAGTCGAGAAAGAAGGTATTTCTCAAGTGAAGAAAACGGATTGAAAAGTGATTTGAATTTATCTTACAGGCTTCTTTTAGGCTTGTGGATCTTTTACATACAGTAAATCTACTACTTGCAAAGGGGCAACCAGCTTTACTTCTCCTCCAAAAGGTGTTCGAAGGATTTTTTCACCACGGTTTTGATTGTATTTGAACTCGCAAACTAGGGTACAACAGCCCAACACCCTAGCCATTATACTACTCAAGTGCACACATTAAAAGTAATAGTAATAATAATATGAATAAAACACTCTTAAAAAAACTTTATCCAACTTGCACAGATTTTTAATTTGCGAGGCAATTTGCGACAGGAAAGGATGCAAGATTGCATCTTTGAACATCAATCCTAAACCTCACAATGGGCAGTAACATAGACATGGATAACGACTGCAGACCCAGTTAACAACTGCAATAACTCTCAAGGGAATGGTGCCCCCAAGAATGACAGAATTGATTTTTGATTTTAATATTGAGAGCTCTTCATATATTCTAGTTTTGATAGCAAAATTCTTTGGTTTTATATTCATTGTCATAAAATAAAATAAATACTGTACAACTACTTCCAAATTTATTTGCACTCGCCAAGTTTATTAATTTCCTTTGCAAACTTTGTTCTGGAGAATTGTTCGCAAAATTGTCATGAGTAGTGTTCTCTTTTAAATGAATGTACCTTATATTTCAATGAGCCAGTACACATGAATCAATCAATCAATCAATGAATCAATCTTTCAACAATGGGGCTGGCTATTTATTTTAATTATGTATATTATTGCCCGATTTAAAGATAATGACTTGTAATAGATCATCAGCTGGACGTAGTTATCCAATCAAGAGCTTTGACATGACATAATTCTATGTATTGAAGCTTATGATTGGATAACCACATCACAGCTGATGATCTGACACAAGTCACAGTATTTAAATGAGACCTTCAGAGATATTTATAAGAACCATTCTTCACTCATTCCCTCTCCTTCTATGTATATCTAGAAAAGAACTCTACTTTTTTTCCCCTTAAATTATTTACTGCAACACTACCAACATCATGAATAAATTTCAATTTTTATTGGCATTATCAGACATGATTAGGACTCATAATTCATTGAATGTACGATTGTCTTCATTTGCTTCAGGTGCTTTTGTGGTGGTAGTTCTGAACTGACATGTAAATAGACATTGTTGTCATGATTTAAGAATTCTAAGTAGTTACAAGGGATTCCACTGTCCACAGTACCAGTGCCAATTTTTGTCTTATAATCAAAATATTTTATTTGGGAGTAAACCTTGAATTGCAGCAAAAGGCACAAAAAATTATGACGTTTTGAATACATCCCACAGAAGCAAATAAGATACTATAGAAGTATTTATAGCTGAAAATCTGGAATGACAGAAAACGTAATGTTCGCTAGTTAGAAGGCTCAAGTTCATTACACAGAGAGAAAAAAACACAACTTTATAGGGTAATGGAACCATATGATTTTGTTCATTAGTTGAGGAGCTCAAGATAATAACGGCAGATCCCAATGGAACTCGTATTTTCAGTTACAAGTATGACAGTACACTCCTGCCATATACCTATCGTATGCTGAAACATCAAATGAATTGGAATAGGGCAAAATACTCAAATTCCATCATCAAAAATTTGAAGAATGAGCAGAATGAAAGTGACGTGAACAAAAAGAGAAAAAGTCATTTTTCTGAAAACAAACTTCAGTAGGTGTTATTATTCAGAGTGCCTCATTTAGAAACTGTTGTTAATAAGATAGTTTATTATTAGAGTTTACTGTAGTTTCAGAAGAATGATAGTAAATATTATGTTCTTTGAAGATCTCATTTCATAACTACAGCTAGGGTTCTCAAAAACAGTGGTTGCCTGAAAAAAGTAAAATCCTACATTGTTTTCCTTATTTGTTAGTTTACTCCTAGTACTACAGTATACCTGAAATCCTGTTCTCCTCAAAGCAAATGCCCTAACGTTAAGTTCCTCAGAAACCCCTTTGGTGACTGTCAGGAAGCAAGAAAGAAAGAAAGGAAGGAGGGAAGGAAAGAAAGAAAGAAAGAACATATTATTAAGTAGTGGAACCTCGAAAACTCAATTTTTGTGATATGTGGAAGGTTTCATTTCCTTTCAAACTTAACAGACTTTAAGCACTCATCATTTCATTTACTGAATCAAATATTTCAAAAGACTTACTATAAATATCTGAATTTTTGTTATTTTTTATTGAATAATAGAAATTTTCTAGTATTCATTAATTTAAACTGGAAATTAACGAACTCTTGAAATTTAGGAATTTATTCCCGTTGTTGCCATTTCATGACTTTCCTGGTCCCAGAAGAGAGTGCTAAGTAAAAACCTCTTCAAAATTCCTTAGATACCACCCAAAAAGCCAATTTCTTTACAATGGTCAGTGACATCACAGTTCCTTTATCAACAAGCTATGGCTATCAAATGCAATTCTCAAAAAGGAGAGCCATTTCTCTAATAGCATAGAAATGTCAGGTTAAGAATCATTTTGCACAACACTACTATATTTATTTGATTCAAAGAGCAATGCACAAACACATTATAAATGTTCATTACGCTGCAAATGTTTGCAAGTACTTTTGTAATAAAGTAATTACACACATCTATAATCGAAGCAAAGAGTAGAAAACTCCATTAGTCAACTTCTCCTATCTGAATCTTTAATTTTCTCTTCCTCATCAGTTTCAAGATCTCCAGGTTCCACTGTGTTAAGATCAAAGAGAAGAAGGTGCCAAGAGAGGCAACAGGCACTCACAGCAGTGGCGACACGAAGGCGAGAAGGCCACGCGTGGCAGTGGAGGTGAGGCGCCATCGTCCGAGCAGGTATACACCCACCCTGTGCATGCCAAACTCACACAGGCAGCGAAGGCAAACACATCAAGGTGCAGGCACAGAGGATGAAGATTAAGATTTGAGAACAAAAAGAAATGAAATAACAGAAACAGCAAAATGAAGGATTATGAACTAAGGACGATGAGGCTTCTGTGACTGGAATCTGTATCATCATGGTTGTCTTGAAGGCAACCATAAAGACTGTAAGTAGAAGATTCAACTCCAAAGGCAGAGAAGCATGCATGCTGGATTAGTACAAAAAGCATCTGCAGCTAAAATGACACCACTGATTGCAGCAACACTGCATGGTAGAATAAGGAAGTTATGATTGCTTATAATATTTACATCAAAAAGTAGTGTAATATGAACCTATTTCATTTAAGTAAAATAATTAAAAAAATGTTTGTATTAATAATAATATTGCATATTGGAATGGATATGTACAAAATAATTAAATTGCATATAAAATTAACTAAAAAATTACATGTAATAAGTTCACTGTTTAATATTTATATTTAGGATTGAGACTTTCCTCACTAGTCATATTCTCACTTGAAAATAACAGTTTTCTTCTAGAAAATTACTTACAAGAATTAATTTCAAAAAATGCATTTTTATTACTACACACATTTTTAATTTTACCACTAAAGCAAATTTTTACCAACCCATACATGTGTTATGCCCACTTATAAAATGAAATGCAAATTTCTAGTATTTTGAATACCCTCTCCCTTCCCTATAATGAACCTTCAATGTGCCCTTTAACACACCGCCTAAATAAATACACATCACTTGCGCCTCGTCCTGCCACTTAGTAAAAATAAATAATATAATGGTAAAACAATTTGTATTTATTTTACTTCTATTGTATATTACAATTTATGATAATTAAAGTGAGAATAATGCAATGCTGACTGCATCTAATCAATTGGGGACAATATTAGAGTGAAGGAAGGACACACAAGCCATGCACATGCCTCCGTGGATAACTTATGGGCAACAGCCTACTGTGCCAATTTAATTATAGTTTACTTTTGAAGTTTTTCTTCATACTCTAACAGATTCAATTAAATTGAGAAAAAAGTACTTCCATTTATTGCACAATTAACCCGTCATAACTTTTTAATTTATTAATATTCTTTGAAAATTTAACTTGTAAATAATTTAATGTTTTGAATAAGAATGAATCAAAGGATCTTTTCCATCAAATATTGAGGAAAAAAGAAAGACAGCATTACCTATCACTAAACTGACACCCCTTTAACATCGCATAATGATACCTCAACACCCCCCCCTCCCCCCCCCTTCTTTACAAAGACATACTTCACAGACTACCCCTTAAGCAAAGATCACTACACTACTTCCTGCACCAACACATATTTTAAGTTGTGATATAGTAATTATATTGATGCCTTATTCAACATTTCTTATTCTACAGCGATGTCTCTGATAACACTGCTGTTGGGATGCTTTTGGTACTAATCCTCACCACGAGAGCTGAATCTCTCTTCAGGGAAGGCAGAACATCCAAGGTAATGTTACCAATGTTTCAACAGATGTTCTGCGGCCTTCGTGCTTTACTTATTATTACTCCTGATGAAGCCTGTGCCATGCTTTCCTAAATGAAGCCAGATGTCCAGATGACACCTCCTGGTCAGACAGGATAATCATATGGATGTGAACAGTCAGCAAGAATATGAAATTAAATGTTCAATTTTTGTTTTGTAACGTCTATATCAATGTAAAACATATTTATGTAGCTGGAGACTAAAAAAATTTGTTTTTTTGAAAATTTGCCCTCGTATGCAACAAGCATAATATACATCCTACAACTCCTAATGCATGACAGATATGACACAAGAATAATGGCTACCAGCTCATTTCAGTATGTAATGTGACATGTCCCACAACACGTAGAGCATCTCTAAGATGTCATACCAAAATCCCTAATTGACTCGTAGAGCATCTCAAAGATGCTTACATACTTTACTGGTATGTAAAATTAAAGTTTTCATTGATGAACTGACCCGAATTACTATTCCATTTTTAAATAACGTTTACGTAAAAATGTTATAGGATTATCATACACTTGGCATTTTAGAGATTTGAAATACATAGTTAGTGCTGTTTGTGTGTAAGTGTAATCTTGCAGCTGCCAAGTAATTTTAAAACAAAGTATGATTTGGACACTGCACAAATACAGCACCTAATAGAAGACACTAGTTTGAAGAGTATAAGCAATTTAGCAAAGAAAACCTCTGTAAAAATTAGAGAAACGCACGTTTTGTAGTTCCAAACATATTTGAAATTATTTTTGAAATTACAAAATAATAATCCTTATTAATAGAATTTATTTCTTACCTTATTATAATTTCAATACAATAGTTCTGTGATATGAATTTAAAAGTATTTATTCCGTATGAATGGTCCATGAAAACAATTCTAAATTGTTTGGCAATTGTCTCCACTGACTGGCAAAATCAGTAACGACCTCGAACGGGGGAATACAAAGAATCTGCTACGAGCTGTACTGCCATTTTTCATTATGCCTCACGAGTTGTGGGACTTTGCAGTGCACAGAAATATCTGACCATACACATTCATTGGTAGCATGTAACAGATGCCGTACAGGTGCAAAGTGATAACTTTTTTACATTTTCTCACTTCAGATTATTTTTCTTTTCCATTACTTCTTTCTGATTCTGCATTTATTGGCAAATGCATAAAAATATTTTCTAGCGTGGTATGGGGTGAAAGTGAAAATCTCTCACTCTCATAAACATTTTCATATAAAATGAAAAGTAGAAACCTACTTAAGTCAAACAAGTTGAAATGGTTTCACTAAAGGAATTTGCTTAGGCACAACAACACTTGTTCAGAATAAGAGACACATTGTTCTGATGTTAATGTATTTTGAAATTGTTATTTTCAAATAAATAATGCCTTTTATATATTCCAATAATTTCAATCAACGAAATTTTTGTTGAAGGACTTTTTAACAATTGACTCATTAGTAAACAATGAAGTATTTTATTTGAGTAGCTGATGTCGACTCTTAAGCAAGTATATGTTTCCCTAATAAATTACAGGAGATATCCAATTTTCATATTTTCATTACATCTTTACTTCCAAAAGAGTGAAATTGTTATAAAATTTCTTTGTAAAATGAGGTATTAAGGTTCAAATTTTGACATTTCAGAAAATTTTCCGTTAAATCAATATCTTTTAATTATTCTAGATATTCAGTTATAATTATCCATTCTGTTTAATATTTCCAGAAGAGAAAGAAATAAGGGAAAGATATTTATTATATGTAAAAACCTATTTTTCTTTAACCTCATAGAGATGTTTTGTTTAATGTTTGCAGAAACCATCATGTTTCACACAATTATCATTACAAAACTTTGGAAAGTTATTTAAATAGAATATGTAATTATGTTTTTACAAAAACAAAATATTAATATGTTTTTAATACATCACAAAGGTTAAGTTGTTATTCGCCAGACATGCTAGGTAGATTGGGATTAGCATACACAATACTTTCTAATAGCAATTTATAAGCCAAATGAAAGATCTAAAAGCATTCAAAGGCAAATTAAGAAGCTCCTCAAAAAATTAAAATTATGTACTCATTCATTTGTCATTTTATTAAAAATTTTCAGAAGTATGGTTGATTTTTAAACTAAATCATCAAAGTTATCTAGAAGCAAAAATATTCAACATTTTAAAAATAACAATACTAAGATGTTTGTACAAATTCTTCAAGTTTAGTTTATCATTAATGACTATAGGAAATACAATTCATTCAGTATTTTCAACATTAAGCAAATTAGAGAAGGATTCAACATTTCTAGAAATTCAGTACTTTCAATTACAAATTAAAAGCCATTGAATCATTCAACAACATAGACTTATTTAAGAAATTATGTTAGCTTAGATAAATTTGTAAAACTGAAAAACTGTGAAATAAGGTGTGAAATATTTTTTAAATAATCTTAAAAGAGAAAAACAAAAAATTGAAAAGTACGACTAAAACCGGAAAAATATAAAACAATTATGAATAAACATAAGTTTTTGGTAACGTCTACAGACTAGGCATATCTCTGGAGTTATTCCTTGGCAAAGAAAAGAAGGTTGAACTAATATTGAATATAAAACTATAATTAATGGAATATACCAATCAATCTGATATTGATATTTTATCCCTCAACTCTCTAAATTTCAAGTGAAGTTCTCAGGTAAAAAAAAAAAAATACAAACATAATAAAAAACAAAAATATATGACTTCACAATTGCATATCACATTTACTTCTCATGAAGAAGTGTTCTTAAGAACCTGTCTACAAAGGATCTTGCAAAAAAACGGAGGAAAAAAAGACAGAAATGGTGCCTCACCCCTGTCAGATCCAGCTTGCTCATGTGGACGTGGAGAATCTGGTTCACTGTCTGTGTGTCGAAACAACCACTTGAGACCAGAGGTCACTCCTGAGTATGCAGCACTGGAGTTTGCAAAGTAATCTGGAAATGAAGCAGGCACATTATAAGGAAGAACAAAGTTCATGAACTTAGAAAGAATATGCCTGAATGGATTTTAAAAAAATATCCAGGTAGGTAGGATCTGAGTTGTCAAGGATAACACAAGAACGAAAGAGAATATTATTACAGATACAAATCAAATGAAATAAATTTTGAATTCATGGATTTCTACATGTTTTGCCATCATAAGCACATCTGCTTAATAAAATGCATTTCAAAGCCTCCACTCATTACAAACAGAAGATGTAATAAATGGCTATAGAAATGGTAACCAGGATTACAGTTCATGAAATTGTATTTGATTAATTGATTAATGATTCTCGGCATGTCAACTGCTACATTTATTACTCCTAGATGCATGTTTTTCTAAGGAGGTGGCAGTAATCTTCCCCCATTGGATTGTGAACTCTGGCGCCGACCTACCTGACGGCTAGCAGGATTTCTCCCAACCACATATCTCCCACCACTGGGGCACAGCCCCAGCTGAAACAATCCCAACTGGCGGTGGAATGCATGTAAGTGTAAGTGTGTAGAAGTAAGGGGTGAGGAAAGGACAAGGAAGAGGGAGAGGAAGGAAAGATTGCACTTGGTCCATGGATCTTTTGTTACGGCACTGCTTACGCATTCGCCCGGTGTTGATTGGAGAAACACCAGGAAACAATCAATTAGGACAGACAGCGACGAGGATTCTTCTCAAGGCAGCAACTGAACATGATTTAATTATCAAGTTAGTGTGGGCCACACTAAATAGACCACTACCACTGGGACTTGAAACTTAGAACTTCCCACGTCTGCTGCACTGCAGTGACATCAGTTAATGCCCAGAGCCACCTCTCCAGTTCCGGAATTGTAGATTTTATGACATTCAGTATCGGAGGGCAGAATTGTAAATAAATATGCAGTGCAAATAAACTATGGGAGCGAAGTTTCCTCTTACATTCCAAGGCATTATATTAATTTGCAGTACTCAAGAGGACAGATTGGTTTACAATTTTATATGTATATTTTTTCAGGGACAAGGGGGGGGGGGGGAGTAAGGCAAAAATTAAAATAATAAAAATAGTAGGTTGACCATCAATCAGAATCCTATACCAACTGTCTGCATGGTCACTAAGGAAGGTAAAGAAGCTGAATATTATGAAGTGTTTGATGTATATTCCTCCTGTGAATTGTATCTGTTATAAACAATTAGTAGTTCTGAATGAAGCGAATTATAACGTACATAATTATTACTTTTTATACTAGGATGCTGAGTCTTGGAATAGGTTGCATTGGAAAACAATCAACATATTTCAGTACGTAACTCCAAAAGATGTACATTATGAATGTTTTACTTTTTTAAGAAAATTTTATAAATAAAATAAAAAATGTCATTGTTTCTAATAATCATGATTATATTTTACAATGTCGTAACATTGCAAAGAAACACAGTTGTCTGAAGTTATTTAAGCTGAATTTTCTACATGCTGAGAATATAGGGCTTTATTTTTTCATTAAGTACGTATTGCATGAGTAAGAGAGTGTCAGTGTGTGAGTGAGTGTGTGTGAGTGAGTGAGTGTGTGTGAGTGAGTGTGTGTGAGTGAGTGTGTGAGAGTGAGTGTGTGAGAGTGAGTGTGTGTGAGAGTGAGTGTGTGTGAGAGCGAGTGTGTGTGAGAGTGAGTGTGTGTGAGAGTATGTGAGAGTGAATGTGTGAGAGTGAGTGTGTGTGTGAGTGTGTGTGTGTGAGTGTGTGTGTGAGTGTGAGTGTGTGTGTGTGAGTGTGTGTGAGTGTGTGTGTGTGTGTTAGTGTGTGTGTGCGCGCGAGAGAGAGAGCGTTACCGGTCTCGCTGGGCCAGCGCTGGGCAGTGCCGTTGGCCGCGTTGCGCGCGCGCCGTGCGGCCCACCGTCGCCGTGGGGGCGCGCCCGCGTCGGGCCGGCTCCTCCCCCTTCCGGCCGCCCGCGCCACCCCGCCTGAGCCTGCGCCTCCTCCGGCCCTCGCCGCCGACGCCCGTCGGCCCGCGCCGTCCGCCAGGCGAGCGCCGCGCCCGCCGCCTCCGCGAGGCGGCCCGCGACCGGGCGTCCCCGCCCCCGCGCCCGCCTTCCAGCGCTGCAACACACACAGGGTCACACCGACGTGCATTTGGACAATTTTAACGAGTCACTTAAAAATTAACAGTTTTACATTTAAATCAATCATAAATACTAGGAACGCAAAGAAAAGAAATAACGCAACCTAAAACACGAAACTATAACTATACAAAAATTACAAATAGATTTGCCATTCTTAACTCTTGAGAAGAATTTTTTATAACAAACATGCAATTGTTAATTAGTTATACTTTGTTTCAGATCATTTATTTAAAAATTATATTTCAATTACTCTGAATAATATACTGTTTTTAATATATTGTAAATGATTGTCATGTGCAAAAATATACTTGTACTTTTATTAAATAATGTACACAATGTTCAGTAAAAGATATTTCTATATTTAATGTTTGGGTAAGAGGGGGTGATACCATTAGTTTTCCCCCAGAGACACCAACTGAAGAAACACCACAGCACACAGTCACACATCCACTGAGCACAAGCAAAAGCAGTAAAGGAGGACGTTCCCCCACCTCCTCCTCCTCTGCATTTCGACCAGAACTGACAGGGGGAGAGGAACTAGTCAGGTCCACCTACATGAGTTGAAAGCAATGCAATCAGAACTGTCAAAATGATGCCAGTCCTCACACGTAGGAGTGAATCAGCCACACTGCTGCTCTGCCTGGGCCCTGGTGGGGCAACTTCACATTGCTTCGAAACGTTAGCCACACCCTTGGTTGTGATTTACAAGTGTTGAGCAATAGTGTAAATTGATTTTTTAAAAAGTATCCCCATCAAACTATTTCAATTTAAAGCATTCTCTTAGCATGCTGTTGAGAAAAAAATATCTACATTTACTTCCTCATACAGTTATTTAGAAAAATGGTTACATTGCAGATAAACAGTCAACCCAAAAATTACTTTACATCCAGTTCTTGTAAATACATGTTATTCACGCCTGCAAGTCTAAATTTTGAAACATTTCTACAATCATCTGAAATTATTTCCTTCAAGGAAATGCATTTAAACAGTACACAATTCAGATACAATTTATTTGCTGGGATCAATTTTCAAGTTAGTGAAATTGATGTGAAGGATAAGTGTGCAATTTGGATAAGTGACCATTTTACCAGCACTTTATCCACTAACACTAGTGTCTCTGACACAACTAGCCCATGGACAGATGCTAGCTGTGTGTTCCAGATTTTCTTCAGGAAATTGATCCCTGCTCAGCTGTAACTTGAATATCTGAGTTTGTAAAACTTCCATAAAATCGAGATGGTGAAATTTACTCCTTTTAGCATGACTTGCACTACACTAAAGAGGCACAATTGGGTGTATGTGGGCACTATCAGGTTCAAACATGCAAGGACAAGCATTTGCACTGTTGCATATTCCCGAGTGCGAGACACTCTAGTTTTCTCAAATCTCAAAATCAATTTAATATTATACATAGCGTAAGATATGGCTTGACAGCACAACGGAATCAAATTGTGAATGGAAGCACTACTTGGGAAATGAGTTTTAAAATTTAACTCATAGGTGACAAAGTGTTTTTATAAACAGAAAATTTCAAAATGATGTGATTGTACTAGCCTTCTAAAGGAAAACCAAATGAAGCATTTTTTGCCCTTCGAAGTACTGGACTTTAACCAATATAGAATGTTATTTATTAACTTTTATCACATAAATGTATTTTAGGTGTGTAGCTACACCTCTGCAGAATGGACTAGTACTAGTATAATGTTATAATGAATTTGTATTGTTACTACATTGGGCGTAATCTCATCTTCAATAAAACAATATAAAAAACTGAGTCAATGAATGTAGTTATCAATAAAAACTGTATTTAGCACATATTGTTTTTGAAAAGGGGACTTTAGTGCCTATTATTTTAAACATATATATGAACAAATCATGCAGAATGACAATGAATAGGAGTTGCACTGAAAATGTTGACTCGGCCAAATTTATTTAGTGTGTAGATGTTGGTTGGTTGGTTGGTTTGTTGTTGGTGATTCTGGACACGCCGATTCTTAAGGTCATTAGTCTCGGAAGTGTAGCGTGTTCTCCGCGGGAGGTGGCGGTGTTCCTCCCCTGCTGGATGGTGAGTTCTGGAGCCGACCTACCTGCCGGCTAGAGGCATTTCCCCAAACAGGTATCCCACTAACGGGACACCACCTCAGCCGGATCAAGCTCTAAGCTTCCGATCGTTCTCCCGGCATGTACGGTGGTGTAGGGTGTGTTAGTGTAAGAGTGTGAGTGTGTGCGCGTGTGTGTGTGTGAGGAAGGAAAGATCGCGGTACGTGGTCATATCAGAGCAGCCCAAGGGCTAAGCTCAGCTAAGGGACTCATAGTTACCTCGTTGCTCGGCCGCCGCCTCGTCGTCGTCGTCTTCGTCATCGTCCTCCTCCTCGTCTTCGTCGTCGTCCTCGTCGTCGCCGCTGCCGCCCGCGGCCGGCGGCGCGTCGGCGGCGGCGACGCCGTTCTCGAGGTGCAGGGGCGAGGCCGCGCCGTTGTTGGTGGCGCCGCGCGGCGGCGACCGCGAGCAGCTGCCGCCCAGCAGCCCGTCCTTGCTGCCGGCCAGGCTGCCCGCCGCGCCGCCAGCGCCGCCGACGCCCAGCCCCAGCGCCTCCTGCCCAAATACAAATGATAGATACATGTTTCTGAAAATGTCCCAGGGCTTTCATGTGAAGTACCCCCTCCCCCCAAACTTAAAATGTCGGTTTGAAATTCAAAGGGCCGCACCATCAATCAGATCGATTGGGGAACACTAATTTTGGAGAAAATCGGCTGGACGGTTTAGCCGCTGGCGTTGCTCTCAGGCGGACAGACATTTTGCTGTCACTAGATTTTTCGGTATTAAGGACCCACAAAACCCGGATTCCGGTTATTCTGAGGATTTCTTCTCTAAATTTACCAACTGGATTTACCCCTGTTCAGGCGACGGAATAGTCGAAGAAAACGTTGGGAGAGCATTTTGATGGAAATTGCAAAGGAACATCGCCTCTTCTATCTAAGTAGTTTTTGTCAAAAAAGAGTGTTCTGGAAAAGAGACTACACACAATTGACAAGGATTGTTACTTGGAGAAAGAATTAACGAGTATTGAAGAAATTGTCAGTTACCTCTGTCCAAACAAAATTAAACCTTTCCTTACGAATTCCGTGGCTTTTTGCTTCGTGTTTCTACTACATCCAGTGCCTGGCACACTCTGGATCGAACCTTGAAAACGTTCCAAACGCTTTTACTCAGCTTTCCACATTAGCTTATGGTGACAATGCGATAGAAAATTCTGCAAGGAACTTCGCACGAAGAAATGAATGTTTGATCAACAGACAAGAAATTCACGCGGTTTTTGGGGCAAAATTAATCTCGGAGGCGCCAAGTTTAAAATGTATAATCCTTTCCTCTGAAACGCCTTCAAAGAACATCAAACGCTGGATTAAAAAAAAGAAGGCAGCCAATTTGAAGTAATTTGGCCGGCAATGTGTCAACAATCCCCTTTTTTGTTACCAGGGCCCTGTAATAAGAGTTTTCTCCCCCCGCGGCATTTCACAAGCGCCAGCCAAGAAGGCAATACTCACGTCTGCGTCGGGGGAGCTGGCGGGGGCGCCGGACGGGGAGCTGGCCGCCGGCAGCGCCCGCTTGCGGAACACCGCCAGGTAGCCCTGGTCGAGGGAGGTGGTGCTGGCCGCCGCCACCTGCACGCCCCCGGCCCCGGCCCCGCCGCCGCCGCACCCACCTGCGCACGCCACGCCACTTCTCACTCTCTGCCCCTCCCCTCCTCCTACACACTAAGGCCCAGGGCTGGCAATCGGTGTTAAGTCCGAGTGGGTGGGTGGCCCGCCTCCCCCTCCTTCTACCACCAAAAATGCATAGGAAGTGAAAAATGCAAAACGCATATTTCTTTAAAAGTAAACTGTGTATCATTAAATTGTTGTCACATTTATTTTGCGTCACTTGAGCAGTTCATTTTTGCAATGCAAAAACAGCTCTAAGATATTTTAAATATAAACTCATTTAACAATTCTAGCAAATTGATTTTGTAGGCTATGTCGCTATAAACATGTAAAATCGCAATGCTGTTGAGCCTATCTGGCAACATAATTGATTACACATACGTTAGATATTCAAGGAACATTTCTCTCACCCCAAATTCCGAGTGGTTATTTCACCCACAATACCCACGTTATCTGCTATGCTTGCTGAAAGCAAGGCAGTGCAGTGTGTAGTTTGTACAACGTATACGCATTGGTAATGTTATAAGAAGGCAAACAGTATTTTCCTACCCCTCATTCCTAGTTTTCTTTCATATTCCGAAAGTATATGAGGCTGCTTACTGATCTGCAAAGTCGTCCAGCACACAAACAGCACTAGCTATTTCAAATCAGTAAAATGCTTAAGTGTATGACAATACTATAAGCTCACGTCAACATTATGTAAAAATAGAATTGTAGCTCGGATCAATTCAACAATGAAAATTTTATCTTACACATCAGGAAAATACATGGAGATCTGTGAGAAGCTCCACGAGTTGTGGGACATGACAAGTTTTCATACTCATATGAGCTAGAAGCCGTTATTCTGTCATCTCAGAGATGCCGCGCGAGCCGTAGAAAGTGTCCTAAGCTCGTTTCGTACGAGAGAAGTGCAAACTGTTTCCGCTCAGCGCAAGAGAAGAAGACAGAGAGAGGATGACTGACCGCCGCCGCGCGCGCGCAGGGCCGCGACGGGCGCGCCACGGCGCCGCCGGCCCCCGCCGCCGCCGCCCGCCAGCCGCCCCCGCTTGCCGCCCCGCGCTAGGCCCGCCGCCGCCCGCACCGCGCGCCCCCCGCCGCCGGCCCAGGAAGTCGGGGCGCACGAGCAGCGGCGAGCGCGAGCCCCCGTTGGCGCGCGTCGTCCTCGTCGCTGTTGGCGCGCAGCGAGAATTCGCTCATCGCTACAGCGCCGCCGCCCACTGCTGCGGCCCACAAAACACACAACTTAACAATCCTCCAAAAAAACTTGCGGGTCAACAAAACACAAATTTAAAATCCTCCAAAAAACCGCGTCGTCAACAAACGATTAAAATCCTCCCAAAAAACTGCGCCGCGTCAAACAAACAACAAATTAAAAATCCTCCAAAAAAACTTCGCGGGGGCCACAAACAATCCTGTGCGCCAACAAAACACTCATTTAAAATTCTCAAATTTCTCATCGCGAATTGCTAATTCACACTACTTTAGAAGAACATATTAAAAACTATTATCCCAATACTAATTGGTAAGTTTCTGATTCAGCGAGGCAAGTTACAAATAAAAAATATTTTCTTACTGAGTTAGAAATTAAGTCTAACACTACTAATGTCTAGTACTAGAAGTAATATCTAGTTTTTATATATATATATAATATATAATATATATATAGATATATATAATATATTATATATATATACAGAGGAGAGGGAGAGGGAAGGAGAGCGAAAGAGGGGAGTACATGCGATGTTCCTCCCTCACATGAATGTGAGATAGTAATATTTAAAAATATTAATATCAAATTATCGCACATCAATAAAATTATCGTACTATGAAAATCCAGCGAACTTTTGAGACCTGCAGAGTAAGTCCGACAAATTGCTAACCTTGTAAACAATATTTTCTGAAATTCTCAAATTATTTGCTAGAAAATATTGAAAAATGTGAGAGAAATAAATGTTCTAGACGTTTTAAGATCCTAAAAAATCTCAATTCTTACTAATTTATAAGAAATGGCGTGTTCGTTTATTACTCTCATTAATGACGAAAGCGAATCTATCATTTTATTTTCAAAACGATTGTGTGTTGAGATGTTTCTCCTTGGCCTCTCCATTTTGTATAATAATCGTAAATCGTAAGTTTGGCGGCACTGGCCAATGTGATAAGTTTGCACGGAATGTATATTTTTTAGTGAAAGCGATTAAGCGATTCATTTGCCCCTTTAATATTCGATAGTTTGGGGTAGTTTTGTGATCTACATCTGTTAAAAATAATGAGCGAGTGTAAAAATAAAATAATAAAAAATCCCCCGAAATCCTGAAAATAATATACAATGTTTATAAATAATTTCAAAATTATAAACGTCGTCCATCACATAAAATAAAATTATCTCCTGGGCAATAATATAGCAATATATTCCGCTCAGTTGTCTATAATGGCAATATCAGTCAGTGTATTCGAGTGAATGTAAGGCGCCTCCCGCAACGTGTGGCAACATCAGGAACAATCATAACAAATGAGTATCGCCATTTAGCCGGCTTATCTGTGTCTTGCCCTAAATAAATTTCTCTTCAATAATGGTAAGACAGAAATTTGAAAAAAAGTTACACATTTGCAACTTTTAAAAATTCAGATAATTTTTCTGAAAATTGGAATTATATCAGGAGCAGATTGCTATATTCATGGCCACCTTTATACGGCTGTAGCGCCCGACATACTCTACTCGAACAAGAAATGTTGCTAACGACGCTTTAATTATCACTATATATAAAATAGTAAAGGTGGACTATGTATTCTCGAACTAGGAATTCTTTTGCCCAAACGTCACATACAGTTTTTTTTATAATAAACAACTAGAAATGTTTCAAAAAATTGGAATTCTTTCTTTTAATGTTGGAAAGAAATTTTGAGCTATACACAAAATAGCTCTCCAAAAATTCAAAAGATCCTATTCAAATTCAAGTTGAGACGGATTGATAGGAGAATTACCATTTGTAAAAAAAATCGTAGGTAGAGTTTACACGCACAGGGTTCGGAGAGGAACAAACAATATCACTTGCGAAAAAGTAGTTGACATCGAAGTCGTACAGGTCTTTCGCTGAGTTTTCCTTGGTTCGTTGAGTAAACGCTGATCTTGCTTCTGAAATACAAATTTCTTGCTGTTTCCGGACCAGCTTCTATGTGCAATTTTTTTAAATCTCTCTTCTTGCTTGTTACGAGAGGAATAGGGCATGATAGGGGTTGTTAAACTACAATACAATCAAATCTCAAGTTTGTTTGCCAATGCAAAATACATTTTCTATTACTAGGCAGTGAAAATGTTTAGTTTTCCAATGTTAACCACACTCGTTATACCTTTACTCATAATTCATAAAATGTTAAGTAAGCAAGTACGGCTGGGATTCTGGACAAGTCCCTCTGTATATACAGAGGGGCTTGTTATGGAAAATACGAACTTGTACGAATTAAACCTCTATTTCTCTGTCAAGTTTATACGATAATTTATTAACATAAGATAAAGATCTGAAGGAACATTTTGAGCAGTGGCTTCTTGCGTCCCTCACGCAAGAAAGAGAGCGTAAGCAGTTTTGCAAATACGAGATTCACCAACAAATAAAAAAAAATCTTAGTTCGCGATACAATTGCACTTCAGTATTGGGAAATGATATATGAACAATATCAACACAAACTTTCGTTTGGCATAAATGACGTTTCCTCGTTGTAAACTGCCAATCGAAACATTCGCCGTTTCGAATTCCATTACTCTATTTAAAATTGTCTTATCTGTACATTTAAAAAAACAAAAGGCGATATTGTTGCAATTGCAATGACTAACAGCAAAAAATATAACAAATTCAAAACGGAAAATCACGTACTCACCTGACCAAGGAAAATTATTTTTCAGATAGGTTAGCTGCAATATTCACTAGCTTGCCTTACGACCGAGTATGACAGGAAGAAAACGTGTAGTAACTATCGTGAGCTCGGGTTTGTTTATCATTCACATCAAGGACGAACGGCTATCGCATTGAAATCCGAAACTGTATCCGCCTAAAATCATCTTCAGCAGTATGCATCCCGTTTCGTCGCGATACCAACGTTCGAACAGCCTCTGCGGAAAGAACTTTCACAAAGACAACCTACGTTCACAAGGCAAAAGCCGTCACAGCAAAACACATTCCTTGAAATAAAGAGCTTTTTGTAATGTTTTGTGCGCTAAAGAATATGCTGGAAAATTCTTAAAATAAAGCAATATTGGCTTTCAGGGCTTGATTCACAATGATCTTCCGTTGAGGGCCGTGGTCTAGTGGGAATCATATTTCCAGACATTTCGTCTGCAACTGCGGCAGACATCAGTGAAGAAGTAGTCGGGACGATAGAAGGGGTCGACTTCCAGGCAACTCACAGGTGACAGAGATAATTATAAAACTTAAAATGGTTTGATAACCACAACAACAAAAATTAACTTAAAAATTTCTGGGTTAAATTTTGTTTCCATAACTGCTTTTCAATCAGACACATTAAAATCACAATATTTTGTCTAATTGACTCAAGACTTTTTCTTTTTAATGTCGTTTGCAATTGAACAATCAATTTCCTAGGAGATCCAAACGAGTAAGATTTTGACAAAAGTCTTCAGTCACCATCCAACTAACTGTTTAAACAACAGCCTATTTATTATTTCCAATGAAATAGTCTATCTAAAATCATGATAAAATAAAAATTTTAAAATATCATTTAAAAAAGCTGCAACACATTATCACAAAAATACGCTAATAATTACGGTAATAGTTATTTGGATAATGAAATATGTGTGATCCTCGAAACACCTTAAAGTTCATTAAACTTAACTGAGAAATCTGACATTTCAGACTGACAAGTTAATAATTTTTGTTTATACTTTCAAAATATTTTCAGAAGGCATCAAAATGTGAACATTGTGAGCAGATTAAATTTCTTTTAAATTACAAATTTTTAAACACAAATATTGAATGCCTTTAACTGGTTGCTTTAAAATATCCATAAGAAATTTTATCTCCTTTTGTTCATGTCTGTGATAGATCCTTCTCCAAAAACAATATAGTTCAAGATAAATTTTATAGAATTGACAGTTATTGGTTCTGAATAATAGGTACATGTCTACTTGTTCTAAGTCTTCTTAAAGTGTATCACTGTTTTGTTGAAAGTATTATTCAAAATATATTATCATTTAGAGTCAGATTCTTTCTGAAATATATCAACGTTTATTTCTCTTAAAAACAACATTACCTCTATTTCTTTTTGAACACCCAATTGTGCAGAATGGAAAGGATCAATGATTTATTTCATTATGAAGCTTAATGTTTTCTGTAGTTAAATTTGTTAACTTAACACAAGTATTTGTACCATAATTCCTACTGTATTTCAATTTTGCTGCAAAGGGAAGAATCACACAAACAAAATTATTAACGAAATATACATTATACATTCTTTTTGGACTTTTAAGAAATGGCAATATCAACATATTGGCATCTTGAAATATTTTCCCATCCCTAGCGCTAGATTTTCTTATCCAGCCTCAGATGATTTTTGTGTTTAGAGAAAAATATGAGACTTACCAGAGGGAGTACATGGTGCACGACATGATGCACCAGCCATCGCCAGAGCAAGGGCCAAGGCACCGGGTTCTGACGCTTGCTCAGCGATGGGGTACACGATCTCAGATCCGCCTAGAGGGCGATCACCACCTCCTGATGCATCCTGCAAATAAATTAACTCTATGACACTGAAAAAATCTTGCTTCATAATAGATTTTAAAGGGCTCTCGTACTGTAAAATAGATTAGCTTCTATATTTCCAAAATCTTAAATCATGGCCAAAGAAACAGTGGCAGTTCGCAAGCATCCAAACTTAAGGGCCACAGACCATTTAGTGAAAAACTTATTTCCTCCAAGAACTGCTTCCTGACACTTGTCACAGAGGGGGATGGAATGAAAAATAAAGACACAAACTTGTTGGTGCAGTTCACAAAGGGACCACTGAACATGTCAGGCAACTGACACAGCTCTACTGCTAGTTTCATTTTAAGAATTTTTTATTCCTACCATATGGTTGAAATATACCAAAACTGCACTGACATTTGATAGCACTGTAAGCACTAATTCAAAATTACTAACATATTTGTGTCTGTAAATTTGTAAAATTGTGGTTGAGGGGAGAGCTTGGGGATACAAAACTGAACACAACTCCAGTAAGTAAGGGATTAATTAATAGTTCATAACTTCTTTCCGAATACTATTACACTTCTCTTCAATAGGTTACAGTACATTCAGTTTACAAAATACCCATTATTCTAGCACAGGAATTCCCAACCTTTTTCTTTCATGGATGCATTTGCTTCAATCCCCTTACATTTTCTTTGTAATATACAGCATTCATAATTACGACACAAAGAATTATACATAAATGCCTTAAAGATTATAATTTCGTATCCTAATATTCACGTAAACATTTAATTTTTTCAATTATCAAACACACTTCCGGTTTTGAATAGCAGAGTTTCTAATCTTTACTGAAATGCAAAAGGTTGCAAAATGTTGAGCTTTTTTTAAGAACTGGCCATAACATTTCACCAGTGTGCCTTTGTAGGTTTCCGCAGCCGGAGTCAATACATTCTTGACTATCCGGGATGAGCTGAGTGTTGGTCAATTGTGCTGACGTTTCATCCATCTTCCTGCGGCCTTCAGAGCTACACTGATAGTGAGCCTAGTATAGCTCTGAAGAAGGCCACAGGAAGGTAGCCGAAATGTCAGCATAATTGCCCGAGACGCGGCACATCCCGGATAGCCAAGAATGTACTTCACCAGTGTGCATTACGGAGACTTCCGCCCGATAAGAGTACCGTCAACAAGAAGTTATAATTGCTCGAGTTTTTCAAACATCTTAATTCCTGAAGATGAAAGATGAATATGAAAGAAGAAGAGTGAATTTGTAATTTATTATTACATGTTTTGTTGCTTTATATCAAAAAACAGTTCATTCATATTTTTTGTAATCAATGTGATCTTGATACTAACAAGGCATAGGTTTACATTTGGCGATTAACCCCCAACTCTCGATCATCACGGACTCCCTCCAAAATTTCATTGACTCTCACGGGACTACTAACCACATTGGGGACCCCTGTTCTAGCATCTGACACGCTAAGGAAATTTTTAGCTTCTGTCAAATGAAGTTAAGGCTTTTGGAACATTTCACCCAAATAATCAAACAAAAATTTGAAGAAACTCATTTTGATGCACTATCTTTGGAAAAGCAGCAATGCATTTGCAGAAATTATTGTGTTTAAGGAAGAGTTAAACAATTCGTTTTCAATTATGTGCTTATAATAGAATTCTAGCAATTCTGCCCAAAAGCTGAAAAACCAGCCACTGAAAATATGTACAATTCTTTGATACAACTAAGCTGTTACCTTCTTGGATAGGATAATATTTTGAACACACTCCATTTCATTACAGTATTTGCAAACAGTAAGTCTAGGCTGTGTTTCACTCCACTTAAAATACATTAAGACAGAATTGTTGCACAAAAATTATATTTTAACACATGTTATTATTAAGAACTTGTAAAAAGGGGTCATTTGCTTCCGAGCTAAAAAATGTTAATTTAAAACAGTTTCAAACAAAGCCATGAAGCTGGATGATTAATCTGCATTATTTAAACACACTTAAAAAAAAGAACACCATAATACTTTCCCGTGTACATTTCATACATAACCTAATTAGCATTTGAAATTGAACTGCTCTGGACCATCGACCCATAAATAAATTATATCCCTCAAGTTTTCAAATTCCCAGAATACACTCAGTTGAATGTAAGGGCATCTTCAAAGTTAAGCTAAATGGAACAGAAATGAAACCAACATACAAATTTTTTTTTACTTGAAATTGCAAGTAAATTTAAGTTTCTAATTTTGACTAACAATGTTTAAGATTATTTACGATGTGATATCACTGTGATGCACATTCTGTCTGAATCAGATTTTAGAGACAATTTCAGTTTATAAAAGCGAGTCATGACAGCCCTCATTACATGAAAAATACAAATAATTGTAATTATGGGATGGGTTTTCTATGAACACTTAATACCTTTTAGTTTTATTATTTTGGTTGAACTAATATCACCAGAGGGCATGACAAAAATTTGTTCTGTTTCTATAGAAATTCTTGGGCATAATTTTGAAGAAATAGACCATTTTATTTACAAGTCATATAAGTTATGAGCAGAAAGAATAATCTTCTCTTTAAAAGGTTCTTGAAAAACTTTAAAAAACTAAATATTTTGTTTACACTAGAAGCTATTTCTTGAAACGAACTCAGCATACAAATTTATTTAATGAAAAAATAGCAGTTTCACTTTCAGTATTAAAATGGTTTCCAATTGGTTGATGCAATCCTTTTAACAGCAATACACTTTCAAAAAATGCACAGAATAATAACTACAGAGTTGTTATAGCAATAGGAAAATTGCTGAAACAAAACGTAATCACATATTGCCAGCATCCTTGACTGATAAATAATACTCTTAACAAATTATAATCAATTGCCACTGAACCATCTCCTTGGTTCAATTACTTTGAAGTTACATTTCACACAAGAAATATTTGCCATGTTTTAGCTTTCTACTGTTACCATTGAATTTAATAATTTAAATTGTTTAAAGCAATAGTCATCCTGATTGGGAATTAAACATTGGGCTCCTGATTTATGCTCCAGTTGCTCTGAAGACTGCTCTACTGAAATGACAAATGTTCTGAACATCTTCATAGGCCCAATGTTTATGGCCATGCATGGTAACTTAATGCCACTACACTGTTTCCTTGCTGGATAGAAGAATTGTTGGATTGCTTAATATGTAACAGGCAATGCATCAGACCTATGTAACTTTTCAAAGCATTTGTCTTAGTGGTAGTTCTTTGGTCAGCACATAAACCAGGAGACCCAGGTGCAATTCCCAGATGGGGCAACAATACTTTGAACAATTCAAATAACTAATTATGCAATTTACAAATGATTATTCTGTTAAAGTTTTAAGAAGTTTTTAATCTCAACATTCATAAACATATTATAATATCATTTATATATTTGTAGTCCAATAAGTTTTTTCACAGCAGAATGCTTTTATTTAACATAAAAGACATGTGCATAATACAATTTCATGAATTGATTCAGAATAAAGGATTTGCAGAAAAATGTCAACAAGATCAACTAAAAAGTCATCATCTAACAAGTACAATTAACCAAGATTTACAATATTATCTAAATCACATCTTTATCGCTTCATAAATAAATGATCCCTTGTCATTCAAATAATGTTTCTGCTTCCTCAAAATTCAAAATTAATGTCATTCAAAATTAAACCTTTATAAGGATTTACCTACTTAAAATTCCTGAAATGTCTCCAAACAATGTAACAAAGTTAATTACTTCATGATAAAAGGGAAGAAAACAAAGTCTATTAATTTTGGAACTTAAATTATTGAATAGACGGGTGGTGGCAACAACGCCATCTTCGCAATGGTAATTCAGAAACAGCTCTTTGGCTTCTTCTGTTTTGCAGCTGATTGGCATAACAAACGAATGCATGGGCAGACCTAGCTTCTAGGGAACTCTCAAAAGGTCTCCGAGCACTGACAGAGCGAGCAAGTGGAGCATGACTCTCCGTGTGGGAATGCACCTGCAGACCGGCCGGATGAGAAGAAGCAGGGTCCAGGGGAGGCAGACCCTGGCCACCCAACATGCGACCCGAACGAAGGTAGCGGTAGGGGCGAGCTCCAACGCCTGTACTGGACGATTGCTGCTGCTGTTGACGTTGTTTCCAGTATACCAATCCTGCAAATGCAAAATCAGTTATATTTGTTCAGAAAAATAATGTAAGGAGAAGGAAGTAAGAAAGAATTCTAAAAACTTGGAATCAATTGAACCACTGAAATGCATAACACACACTTCATAATTAATATATTAATCCAGAATTACAAGATCATTTCAATTCTAATCATCCAGACCATTTGTTTAGGTTTTATCGCATCACAATGCATAGAATATATTTAGAATTCAGTACAATAATTGAAATGGGCTCCTTATTATGTGACCAATGATAGATCCTACTAAGAGACCATCAATAGTTCCAGAGAAAAGGGTTGTTAATAAAAGGGGCGAGGTCTTCCTCCTCGGCCATTACTTTCGACTACTGAATGCTGGCCTCTTCCTCGGGGGCCTATTATAAGGGAGAAGATTTGGGTGCACTGTCCTATGGCAATGTTTGAAGGTGATGGATGGGAAGGTAAACTCAGATACAGTGTAATGCTTTTGATACTGGGGAATGTGTCAACATGCCCTGGAAACATGGCCCGGAAAAGCTGGCTCAGAGCGAAGTCGCTCGCCTTTCACCAATGAGGTTCGGGGTTCAATCTCCATTGATTTCCAAACAATCTCATATGAAATTTGTTCCGTCAAAACGAGTTTGGCTGCTTCACAAGTGCTAGTCCAACCTCTGTGATGTGTCCTAAACCCTAACCCTATCCTAGTTCCTTCCCAATTCTGTGTGTGTAATGAGGCACGTACGCGGAGATGCTCCCTGGTGGTCCCCTTGACAACTGAGATGAGTTGTGATGAAAAATGTTGATTAATGGAGGATTACTGCTGCACAGTAATTAAAGGAGGATTACTCCAAAAGGGCAAAGCACTCAACACACAGGGCTTGGAGATGCTTTACGTCTATGTAGAGGCAACAAATTAAAAAAATGTTGAAAAGAAGGGTCAACCTACAAACCCAATATTGGCAGATGCTACACATTGATCTTCAACACAGTCCGCACATTTCTGGCAGCTTGCCCGCATTGAACTAAGAAACTTTTCAATCACAATATTGGTCAGCCATAAGGCATGGTCTTTACACTGTTCTTTCAGCGTAGGTGAGAGCAAAGTGGGTCAGAAGGTAATGGTTAGTCAATGCAATTTTCCTGTGTAAAGTACAGTAACAATATTAACAAAGTTGGTATCACAATACAAAGTTGTTTAAAATGCACATAATAACTTCAATTATTATCATTAAAATTCTTGCAGTCAACAATAATTTACTTCCAGTAAAATTCAAATTACTCTGTATTTCTTGGGGAAAAGTTATTGTAAAAGTGGACACCCACCAAATTTCTAAAATTCCGATTTTCTCCTTATAAGTCAAATATGATCATCTGATAAATGTTGAAGCGAGCAAAATAGCAATTGGGAAGTGTTCAGAAGGGGTTCAAAATGCATTACAATATGCTTTGAGAAATTTCATTTCAAAAATCTTATGAGTAATTGGGAGTTGAATTGTTTGTAAAAGGTGGTTTTGCCATAAAAACACAGCATGAACAAGTGGATTTGCTCTCTTAAGGATTCTAAACTATTTTAAAGCTAAAATTATAAGAAAGAAAATTTTATTAAAATAAGATATAGCTATAATTTTTAATGTGATTTTTTTTTACAAATAAGCCACTTGGAAATCCACTTTACCCTATGGGTGCATAAATTATCTTGGTCCAAAGTGGATGCACTGTATCATGAGATAGAAAATTTGAACCTTAGTAAGAAATAAATTCACAAACAAAACTCGAGTCATAGGAAAATTCCACACTAAAATTAAAACAAATTCTAACACATCACATGCAAGGAGAATTATGGAAACAAATGTGTTTAGAAAGGTGATGTGAGTAATGTGAAAATAAAACAAATTACTATCTATGTAGCTACTACTCAGTGCTTGTACGCCTTGAAAAATATCACTAATTCATTTGAGAAAGTCAGAAGTTATCTTGTCAAACTGAGGATATACATCCCATAGAATGTTGAACATAGATATCAATCACATTCTCTGCAAACATGAATGTGAAAATATTTCCACATAAAATACAGTCGCAATTCAACATGGTATAAGTTCTTTATTGCAAAAAATGAAATTTTGCAAGTCTGTAATGTTCAAGTGCTGACAGCTTGTACAGAGAGTATATAGAATTTACCTGAATAAGATAAGGCTTTTTCCTAAACACCTCATTCAAAACCTTAAGGGTTATGACTCATTTGGAGATTAAAGTTTTTAAGTTACCTTTTTCTATTGAGAAACAGAAATACTGAGATAATCTGCATTACCATGCCCACACAAATAATCACCTGCCCTCACATACTTAACACCAGCATCCTAATTTTACAGAAAGAAATTTCAGAAAAACTTTCTTCTCCTTTTATTGAGGGGAGAGAATAGCTCCATTAATTTATTACATTGTTAATGTTGAAACTCAATCCCGCACCTATAATAAAAAAAAAAAAGAGTAGTACAGGTAATAATAGTAGTAACTATTACTTACAAAACTATTTTGTTAGGAAGTTCACTGAAAAATTTCATTACAAACATTGTAATAAAATGTCATGTATTTCAATGCAAGTTATATGAAAATGCTTTTATAACAGCTGTTAAACCTATTTTTAAGATACAACACTGTGCTGAATGTAAGGTACCTCCAAGAACCATCCTGTACAATATATTTTATTTGTGGATCTTTTCTTGGCAACTGTCATGGATGTATCAGGCAATTCCGATTGTTTTTTAAACCTAAGAGAATCTCAAATGAATGGCACAGTAACATGCACACACTGTAATAATGGATGTAAATCATGGCCAAGATTCTGATAAGATCTAAAAGTTGTTAAACAAGCAGATGCCACAGACAAGGACATGACACATCAGAAGTATGGAGGTTGGTGCAAAAAGAAAGAAACGATAATTCAAATAAAGATTGAGATGGTTGAGACGCAGACATGACTGGAATAAAATTTGATGTTTCAAGAGGAAATGTTCTTGGGCAGCATTAGATGAAAGTTTAAAAAAAGCTAATTTAAAGTGCAAAATCTTCAAGGAACTAAAAACATAGAAGTATGGAAAGTGGTCCAGAAAAAGAAACAATGAATCAAATGAAGATGGAGATGGTGGAGCTACAAACCATGAGTACAAGAAAGACGAAATTAGTGACTTAGCAGACAGGAAGACTTTTCTCTAAATTCTCCGACTTAAATACTGCCCATTTTGAGTGATACCAGACTTCCATCTGAGAGGTAGCATCTCGCAAAGGAAGTTAACAGAAAGTTTAGTTAAAAAGCTTTTGCTTTGTTCTAATGATTGTCAACAGCAACAAAAGGAGGCTTGAAGAAGCAAACCTTTGTCTCGCAGTGCACCAGCAGCAGCAGCCAAACCATCGCCTGCCTCCAGCATGTAGCCCAACTCCAGAGAACCCGTTGTCTTTAGACCAGAACCTCCAGGAAAACCGGCACTGGACACACTGGAGAAACGACGTCCAGAGCCAGAGGCACGAACTGTCACAGAACCAGCAGATCCAGGGCCCGATTCCTAAGTACAAAAATTAATATCTCTTAAGTTCTGTTGTTAACAACATAAAATATATATATTATATATTATATATACACATATATACACATATATACACATATACACATATATATACATATACACATATATACATATACACATATATACACATATATACATATACACACATATACACATATATACATATACACACATATACACATATACACACATATACACATATACAC